ACAAAATGTCCTTTTTATTTAAATTCTAATTAAAATTATTAAAAACTGAACTAAATTACTGACACACACTGATGTAGATGTATTTATGTATCGGGCTTTACATTCAGCATATATGGTAAAATCCCGCGTATATAGGCTTTTTTTAATAAAATCTTGCATGGACTTCTTAGAGCCACCACAGTTACTGCTTAACATGGATTAAAAAATGTAATCATTTCAGCATTTTGAAAATCAAGTTTTTTGAAAATTTGTGAAGACACTATTCTAAAACTAAAATAGGATATTATTGAGTTAGATACTTTATTGATAATGGTACTTTATTGATAATGGTACTTAATTGATATTGGTAAAGATACTTTAATTAGTAAGTTAGTTTTATTACATCAATTTGCACACATTTTACAATGTTATCTATAAGATCTAATAAAAGTATATAAATACTATCTGACTGGGGCAAGTAGAAGACAAAATGTTTTATCATCAAGCCCTTTCGTAAAATAGAGAAAAAAATAATTTTACAAGTGCTAATATTATTCAAAAGAATCTAAAAAGTTTAAAAAGAAATTAAAAAAAAAACTAAAAACTAAAAAGTTTGAAAAAAAAAATTATAAAGTTTGCAAAAAAGAAATAGTCTTTTAAATAAAATAAAAAAATTTATAAATTGGTACTTATACGTACCATATTATAACTTAAATATAAAAATGACGTATTGTATAACAAAAATATAAAAATTAACAAATCGGTATATATACGTATACATATTTAATACAATACGTAATATATATTTATATATATTTAAATATTTAATTGAGATTTAAAATTTAAGAAGACTCAAAACATTTTTAAATTTTAAATTCATCTATTTATATTTTTTTTACAAAATTAAAACAGACAGCCAATAACAACAACAAAGATAATATATTAAAAAAATAATCATAAAATAAAACTCTTTTTTTTTTTCTAAAAAAATTAAAGAGTGTATGTTTTGTTTAAATTTAGTAACTAGTTCTTTTAGATATATCAATAGATTTTATTTATTTTTTCATGTTTTCTTTAAGAACATAATTCCAGAAGCCAGGTTCCCGACATGTAATTGAGGTCAGATTTTTTTAGTGATGTTAGTGGAATGTAGTAATTAATTATTGAGTGTCTTTTTTCATATTTATAATTAAATAGAGAAAATTTTAATAAAAACATTTTATTTCATTTTGAAGTTTAAGCATAAATAACATGTTATGGTAGATATTCAGTTCATATACATTTAGAGCATTTTAGATACATTTAGTTTCCTTAAGTAACGACGCAGCACTTTTTTACCTATGACTTGCTTGCTTTTGTTTTGTATAAATATTTTTTAGGAAAGATGAATAATTATTTGTATAGAAAATGTTACAATAATATGACTATGTATAAATTAATAGTATAAATTTTTTAAACATATTTTATGCAAAAGATGTTTTGTCTTGTACATAATCCCCAGAATCTTTAAAACTTTATTCTTGACTAACTTTCTTTGGGTTTTCCAATTTAAATGTTCATCAAAAATTATTCCAAGTATTTTCATTGAAAAAACTCTTTTTATTTTAATATTGTTAATTGTTAGTTCTGGTAGTTTAAGTGGAAGGTTTCCAGATTTATATGGTTTAGCAAACAAAATATATTTAGTTTTTTCAGTATTCAATGAAAGTTTGTTTGCTATAAACCACTCATTAAGATATATTAGTTCTGTATTTACATAATGAAAAATATTTTTTTAATTTGAATCTGAAAAAAAAAACATTAGTATCATCAGCAAAAATAGAATACTTAAGTACTTTTGAGAACAAATAATCATCATTTATATAAATTAAAAACAACAAAGGTCCAAGTATTTACTTCCATGTGGAACACCACAACTATTAACAAAGGTCCAAGTATTACTTCCATGTGTAACACCACAACTTTTTGATTCAAATTGTGTTCATGTTAAATCATATGCAGGCTTTCACAGGAGACGTGCGATCGCATGTCTTTATATGACCACGCAAAAAATAATTTGTTCTGACGATTTGACCACGGCTTTTGACATAATTCAAAATTTAAAAGAGCACTACAAAAACTTACTTAAACTTATCTAAAAAAAAATTTTATAAAGAAAGAAAAATCTTAACGTAAGAGAAAATTAAAAAAAAAAACTAACTAAAGCAAAAACACAATATATATATATATATATATATATATATATATATATATATATATATATATATATATATATATATATATATATATATATATATATATATATATGTATATATATTATAAAAATTTATTAGAAGTGTTTTGTTACTTCATTAAAAAGCGTTTCTATAATATAAAAGAACATAAGATCAAACTAAATTTTAACTTAATTTAATTGTAATGGTTTTCTAAAACATTTGTTTGTTTTTTTTCAACAAAATTTTGTTTATCTTTTCAAATGTATTAACTTTAATTATTCTTATATTAAAATTTGCCACTTTAAGTTAGAGTGAACTACTCCATAGTTCGGCTCTAATTTTATCTGCTAGTTTTTTCCCTATATCACACCCCACTTTATTTCATTTTTGTAGTTATTTTTTTCTTTTAAACTTTTAGTTATAAGCTACATTTTTTTTTATTAATTGTAAAAATAAAAGTTTTATCGATTATTTTTATAAACTTTGATTGCTATTAAAAAACTTTTATGTACAAATTTTATTTTCTTCTGCAAATTTTACATTCAAATTTGTCTCGTAAAACAACAACAAAAATTCTTACAAGCTTTTTCAATTCATATTGCTTTTAAAAATCTTTTGAAATTTTATAAATAACAACATAATTGAATATTTTTAATTAGTAGTAATTTAGCATATGAAATGCAGTGGTTAGAGACACCTAATATCGCCAATTGCAACAAGAAGTAGTAACAAATCAACAAAAAATGGTTGGAAAGTTGGAAAGAAAGCAGCAAACAATTAAGACCTATTTTCATAAAAATTATAGTATTGTAAAAAAAAAAAAGGTTATTTTAAAAACTTCACACTTGAGTTGGAACAAAATTAAAGTACAAAAACAAAAGTTTAGTGCAGAAAAAAAAAAGGTGATTTTTTAATCAGACAATAGACAATTAAACTAATACCATTCTTTAAAATGTATTTAGATTTTTAATCTGTAAATAATTTGAAATTTGTAAATGTCTGTAAATTTACTTTTATTATTTATGAATAATCAGGGTGGCCTTAAAGTTTAAGGAAAAAGTCATGGAAGCTAAACATGAAAATTTGCTGGCCATCCTTATTTTATGCACTTACATTAATCAACTACACTCATTATAAAATGATCAAACACATTCATATTCAACATGGTGTTATATAACAAATTTAGTTATCCTCACAGTCATATAATTAACAGGAAATATTTTATACATTAAATTCCTCTATTCGTGTAGAAAGCTGTCTAGATTTTGTATCCAGATAACTGTAGTCTTTTGTAAAAGTTATGATTTTTAATGTTGCCCCAATAGCATTTTTATTATTGAGGCCAGGTGTAGTGAATTAATGATAAAAATTAAAACTCAAGATGGTATAGAAAGTTTTATTCAGCAAATTAATAAATATATAACCTAAGGATACAATCATTTATTTTACATTAAAAAATCACAATACTTATCGAATAACAGCAGTAAGTGATAAGAATCAGCACTCTGTCAGCAAAAATATAGCCACTTAAGTTTCTTATAAAAGTTTATTCTGATATAATAATTTGTTGGATACACAATTACCCAGTCAGGAAATAAAAAATCATTTGCCCCAGCTGGTTTTTATTATGTACCTATTGGACGTTTAATTATATTGATATGTTTATAACTAAACCAAGTTTGCTTTCATGAAGTAAAAATTTTTTTATTATAGTATACTTTTTAAGTACAAAATGATACATTACCATTTAAGATGTCTGAAAAAAAATTCTTTTTTTTATCTGATATTAAATTTTGGTATGAAACATGTTTACTTTGTTCAAATCAAGCTTATTTTTCAAGTTCAATAATTCATTTAAGTTTAGTACTGTATTAATTGAAAGTAAAAAGTTTAAAATTCTGCTTTATAAATATTGTGTTAAAAATATTTAGAAATTATTTAGTAGACTTATTATTAGTTTGTGTCATAATTTATTTTCTTAGTATAGTTCTCAAGCTTTTTATCATAGATATAGAGCTTGATAGACAACAATGCGGTAGTGGTGTAGTGGTAGAGTACTTGTTTTATAAGCGAGAGGTTCCAAGTTTGATTCCCACCACGTCCCTGGTAGTACTGCACTCAATTTGTTTCTCCGCGCAGCAGCCTTGTTCGTCAAGGTTCGTGTTTTGGAGTTATAGAGTTAAGAGAGGGTTATAACCACAATTAAGTAGCCTCCTCATCTGTAGTGACTTTCTCGGCCTTGAGATAAACTAACATTTAGTTTTTTTTTCAGATTCAAATTAAAAAAATATTTTTCATTATGTAAATACAGAACTAATATATCTTAATGAGTGGTTTATAACAAAAAAAAGAGATAATATTGATAAGGATTCTTATTTATATACTTTAGCATACTTTTCTCTTCTCTTTTTTGGATCAAACTAGAAATTTGAGCAACTTCAATGTTTTAGAATGTTATGGATTAGCTTTAATCCAGTCTCTACATCTTCTTTTAAAAGACAATTTTAAAAGTCATCTATAGCATAGTTATAAAATGATTTTTTAAAAATGATTTTGTTTAGCAGCAATATTTATGAAAAAGATCATGAATGTTATTATTCATAATCCTATAAAATAGATTAGTAGAAAACCATCTAAAAAATAAAAAAAATGAAAAATGAAACATATTTTAAAAAAGTAATTATTTGTCTATTAGGCATTCTTAAATTATTTATTTTTTCTTATTTTACAACTTGGCTTTATTTTTGAATTAAACTATTTTTGAGTTAAGACTAATTATATATTTTATATTGATGTATTTTTTAGCTCGTTTTAATTATACCTGTGCTGGTGTGAGGAAATCTGGAGAGAGAAGAAGTGATGTTTATTATATTGATTTTGATGGAATGGGTCCAATGGAACCTGTGCCTGCTTTGTGTGACCTTGGTAAAACAGTTGAAACAACTGTTACACAAATAAATAATACAAATTATAATGATAAAGATGTGACAACTCCTTCTGGAATCAACAATTTTGATATTGATTATGCAGCTAATATCATTCAGATGAGAGAACTGATTTTAAACAGTGCTTATTGTGAGCAATATGTTAAGTACACTTGTAAGGGCACACCTTTATTTAGATCACCAGAAGGACCACCTGCTGTAAGTATCAACTTAGGTTTATTTTCAACTTAGGTGGATTGAGAGAAGGAGATGTTAAGAAAAAATAATATTAGCCACCTGATTCTTGAGAAGGTGTATATTAAAAAATATATTCATTAAACAATAGCTTATGTTACACAAACTTTAATCATAATCTAATTTATACATATTCAGATGAACAGTTTAAGTGTGGTATTTCTAGAGACATAGAATGAATTTGAACCTAGTACCTCTTGATTATAAGTTGATTGCTTTACTTCTAGTCCACTATGAAGAAGTACTACTTCATTAAATACATATATAAGTATATAAACTATGTATGTGTGTGTATATATCATAGATGAGTTTTTTCCGGAAATTCCCGGAATTCCGGAAATTCACTTAAAACAACTTTAAATGTTTTTTGATATTAATTTGAAAATAATTAATATATTTTTACATAAAATTTTACATACGACAACTTATGCATTTAAACAAATATGTTTTCTATAGTTAAGATTTTCACGAGATAAATTTTCGTAACAATTTTTTTTATTTTTTTTTTATTTGCTTTTTAATTCATTCAAACTTTTTCTAATATTAGAAATTCCTTTTTGTAAAAAGTTAAATAATCTAAATTCTGTTTTAAAATAATCTAAATTCAGTTTGTCAGTTAAATGCGATCAATTTTTAATAAAATAATTATCCGGGATTTTCCGGGATTATCATAGAAAAAAAATTTCCGGGATTTTCATAAAGTCAAATACTCATCTATGATATATATATATATATATATATATATATATATATATATATATATATATATATATATATATATATATATATATATATATATATATATATATATATATATATATATATATATATATATATGTATATACATATGTGTACAAGTATATGTGTGTATATAAAAAAAAAGTAATGGCTTTTATTCCTTCTTGTAGATTCCTAATCAAGCCTCACTTGTTTCTATTTCTTTCCTTTTCTGTTTTTATTTTCAATCATAATAACTTTTACAACCTTTTTTTTTTTTTTTATCAGAGCAGTTCTTTTTATACATACAATTTTATACATATCTTTTTATAAAATTTTTGTTTCAGGAGAACTTTTCTTTTTGGATGGAAAATAACAATATTTTAAAAATATATTTTTTTCACAAAATTAATTTAAAATATAATATATATTCTTATAAACAATCCTAAACTTTAAAATTTACAGAACTTTTTTATGAATTTTTCAAACTTTGTATCTAAATTGGTGGAAAAAAACATTGAAAAAATAGAAAAAATGCAAACTTAGAATTTAGATTCTTTGAGCAAGTAAGATCTTATTAACACTCTTCCTGACATAAAGGTTAATTGTTTAAATTAATTTTGTTTTTGCAGCTTAAGTTTTTTTTTTTATCTGCCAATTATTTTACCATGCTGGTTTTTTCTATAAGCTTTATACATTGTATAAAGCTTGCTCTAACAGCCAAGTTTCAACATCTGTCTTGTCATGAAATGTTTGGTTCATTTTTTCTAAATATATTACAATGGTTGCCACTCAAAAAAGTTACTTTTGCATGTTGCTCCAGCTAACAAAATTTGTTTTCTTACCAGTTATCATTTTATTAAGTGACATCCTATTTCATTGTTTGTTTTTTTGTGCTCTAAATTTTTTTCAAACATCAGGGTTTTAAAGCTCTCACTTGTGTTTTCCCAATTATTATTTTTAAATAATTACTATTGATGTGATCTTTGCCTCAAAACAATCAATATGAAAAGGTTTTGAATATTTTATGATTTGATATGTAGAATTGCAAAATTATCTTGTTTGCTGTTATGTACTACAGGGCTCAATTTAACGGTCGGACATCAGACATTGTCCAGCTAAAACCTAAGATAGTCTGATCAATTTACAAATTAATCAGACATTTTGACTGACAGGAAATAAATTCTACAAAATAAAGCTTGGGCAGGAATGGCGTGAGATCGAACACTATTGTTGACCACATAAATGATTTTTTTTGTATACAACTTGACCTTAAAAAAACTTAAAGTTAAAAATACTTTTCGTTATGTTTTTAATTGCATTTGAAAAAAATTAATCTTTAATGTTTTAACATTAAAGTTATGCAAAACGCTTTTAGAGGCCACATTTATTAATTGTTTAATAAATGAAAAAATTTTATTTAAATTATTGAAAAGTGAAATTAAATTATTGAAAAGAAAAATATATAATATTTTAAAGTTGTATAAACATTTCTTTCAAAAAGTTGCAAAAAAAAATTTTTAAAAAAAAACAACGTACCGTAACGCACTTGAATCCACTTTATTGCAATTTTTGCTTATAACGATCAATTTTGCTCCATTCAAAATTTTCTTTCAATTTTTTTTTTATTCAAAATATTTTTAAAGGTATCAAGCTTTAATTCGAACTTTTTGATTTATAAAATAAATTAAAAACGGATATACTTTTTAGTTCTTCAAAATGTGACATAATGTTACCATGGCATTTTTGACTAGTACAATTAATTCTTCTGAGTCAGGACAGATTCCTTTTCCTGGTGGAACAATTAGTTTTTTTTTGCGCTTTGATATTGAAGGTACAATCTGCACGATTTTCATTTAAATGATTAATGCTTTACAAATAAGGCTTAGATCAACAGATGATCGATCCTGCAGTGGCAAACAATTAATAAGAGGTTCTTTATTACAAGGATAAATTCCAAACTTAGCAAAACCTAATATTAAATTTTCACTAGAAGTATCTTTTATTAATTCCAGTACTTTTTTTAGAAGTGGTGGAAAGTGTCCTTTTGGAAGTGTTGTGGATTTTTTACCTGCAGGTGATTCTTTCCACAGAGTCAAAACAGTTTTCCACTTACTTTTTAGTGGCCTAAAATATGCAAGATGTAGAGGCTGTGTTAAATGCAATGAGTTAGGTGGTAAACACGCAAATACTATGTTATTTACTTGACATAATTTTAAAACATTCTGACCGATGTGTGATGATAAATTATCCCCAATAAGAACTTTTTTTCCAGTTTCTTTTTTCAGTATAGGAAGCAGGTGAGCAGTAAACCACTCCTCAAATGTGACACTATCTAACCATCCGTGTTTTGTGCGATTGTACCTAGTTCCATGGGGACCGTTTTCAGTCCACGTTGTCCACAGATTTTCTGATTTGTAGACAACGTAAGGTGGTATTGTACATCCAGCAGCGTTGCCATAAAACATGACTGAAATATTGGATTTTGATGAGTTCATTACTCTTTCAGGGTATTTACAGCCTCTACGACACATAATTTTTTTGCGGCCTGGGTCATCACCTAAGTTTGTTTCATCATAGTTGTATATATTTTCTTCTGGCACATTTGTAACAACTTGTCTGAGGTTTTCAATAAACTCGCTTAAGGTTTTTTGTTAACAGCAGCCCGATAATGTTTTATATTAGCTGCAAAGCTCAAAATAGGGTGTCTTTTTAAAAATAATTTACTCCATTCAAGTCCTAGAAAATTGTTTCTAAACTGTGGAATAGTTGGAAGAGAGGTAATCCTTGACAATAAATCTAAAATCCAATTCATCAACAGGGAATCCAAACTCAGACACTCCCAAGATGTGAGAAACAAAAGAAGATTCTTCCAAAACAGTAAATATTGTAGGATGTCCTGGTTTTTTATTGTGTTTTAGCATTAGTTTACTTTGAATGGTCATTAGGGTGTCACAAAAAACAACATTTTTGAAAATAATCTGCTCTCACCCCCTAAATGTGTTCTATCTAATGCAAAAACACTAGGTTTAAATTTTTTTTGAATAAAAAATATTTTAAGGGCTCCTTCAAGACCCTCAAATATTTAATGGGTTCCTAATATTTTCAAAAAAAAAGTTTTTCAAAAATATGTCAACCTGGTACTCAAATGAAGCAAAATTATATAAAAATTTTAAAAATAACATTCATTTCGAATCAAAATTGTTATTTTTGGTTTTATTACATAAAAAATTGCATTTTTTAAGAAAAAATGAAAAAAATGTGTTTCTAATGTTTTTTTATGCTAATTTTGATAAGTTAAAAATATTTCGAAATGAATATTATTTTTGAAATATTTATATAATTTCGCTTCATTTGAGTACCAGGTTGACATATTTTTGAAAAACTTTTTTTTTGAAAATATTAGGGACCATTAAATATTCGAGTGTCTTGAGGGACCCCTTAAAATATTTTTTATTCGAAAAAAATTTAAACCTAGTGTTTTTGTATTAGATAGAACACATTTAGGGGGTGAGAGCAGATTATTTTCAAAAATGTTGTTTTTTGGGACACCCTAATGTTCATTCTAGATATGCAGAATTTTTTAAATGCTACTCTTTGACTCATTCGGCCTTCATTAATAGCATTAAGGTACTGTTGGAGCTTTTCTTGAGAATAATCTACATATTTTCTGGAGCTTGATCTCCTAGAATACATTCTTGGCATCTTTTATGGGCTGAAGTATAAATTAATCAATATATTTTACCAATAACAAAAATACTGTTTACAATATAATAAAACTACAAAATACTATTTTTATGAAAAAAAAATGCAAAGAGAACTTTTTGAAAGGCAACGAATATTGATTTTTGTAAAAGGATAGTGCAAATATTAAGTAAAAACTAATTCAAAGCAGAGACTAAAATAGTTTAAAATCAGACAAACAACAACAAAAAAAGTCATTAACATATAATATATATATATATATATATATATATATATATATATATATATATATATATATATATATATATATATATATATATATATATATATATATATATATATACATATATATATATATATATATATATATATATATATATATATATATATATATATATATATATATATATATATTAATAATATATAATATAATATTATATGTTAAATTACTTTAATTTTATTACATTTGTTGTAATAATAATGATAATAATAAATTAAATAAAGAAATAAATCAATCACCCATCAAATCACCAAAATAAATAAACAAATGTATATTAATTTAATATAAATAAAATGATTGGAGATTTAATAAATGATATGGGGTTACTTTAAGTCCTGATTAAATTGACCCCATTTTTACATTAAAACTAACTTAAATGTGATTAGGTATTTTTTTCTTAAAACTAAATTAAAAAAATAACTAAAAAAATATCCAAATCTTTTAACTAAGGTGTTAGTCTAGCAAACTCAGATATATTTTTATCTCTGTAGTGTGTGCGATAATAACAAACCAAACAAAAGTTCTGCCAAGTCAATTTCATCCATTTCAAAGTTAGATTATTTAGTGTGCGGAAAAGACAATATGTTTTTTTAACAGTGTTAGTCGTATATAAATTAACCAATAGAAAAAAAACCTGCCACTTTTTGGATGTTTGAACAGGAGAAGGATGAAACTCAAATTATCTGTAGTGGATTAAAGTAGGACTGCAAGGCATAAAGTATTTTGGTAGTTATTTTAAAATCATTATTTTAAAATCGTTAGATGCTTTTATTAGTAAGTCAAATTTAAACAATTCTTTGTAAAAATAGAAACAAAAAAAAAAAGCAATTAAATCATGGGAAGACCTAACTTAACTTATTTATAATTTAAAGAAACTTAAAAAAACAATCTTTTAAAAGATTTTCAGAAAGACATGGAAATATAGTTTCAATAATTTAAATTTATCGTAAAAATACATACAGTCAACTGGGGTAACTTTGGTCAGTTTGGGCAGTTTTTCTTAAACATCTCTTAATCTTGTTAATTTTTTTACAGTTTTTTTCTTGTGGTAATAACATTATAGGTCTTGGGTATAGACCTCTATGTTTATTTTTTTAATTTTATTTTTATTAATATTTTTTTTTAAACACCGAAAAGTGACGAATGTTACCCCAGTTTTTGGGGTAACATTGGTCACTTTAATAAGTGTTGCTGTTGCCGTTACTGTTGTAGAATTAGGCTTCAATGACATTTTTCTTCTTTTGGATGGATGGATAGTTTTTGAACTAGCAGCCTTCCCAGTTGTATACCCGACCTGTCCTTAGCTTTTAATCTGAAGATAATAAAATCTTTTATCCTCATTAAAGAACCATTCACCATCTTTATTTTTGATGTCAAAAACTTTATTCAGTGGTTATATTTTTTTTGCTTTACACATTTGTTGTATGTCTTCAGCAGTTTTGCTTGTACAACTTAAATTGATAAATGTGGAAAATTTAATTTTTTTTACCATAAACTGGTTACTTCTTTCTCAATTTGCTTCATGCGTTTTCGTCTTTCTTTGTGGATTCTCACAGAAACAGATAGTAGTCAACAATTTTTCTTCTATTGAAATACTTCTTTTTTTCCTGTGACTCATAAAATCATGCAAGATTCTTCATCCAGGTTGTCTTCTTTCTTTCAGTAGTAAAATCACTTTTCATTGTTTTTATTATTGCATTTCAGAAATATATTTAAATATTAACATCAAGTTAATACTTGAATATATTTCTAAAATGCAATAATAATAAATATAAGTGCTATTTTTTATTTTATCTGACAAATGCAGATTTTACTTGACTGCCATCTGGCAAATACAGATTATTAGCTATTAGCGTTGCTCAATCAGACAGCTTATATAGTCTAAATCTTGCTAATTTCCATAAACTTCTAAAAGGCTCCAAAAATCCTGAAAGTTTCAGAGATTTCTAAAAACATCTAGAATAGTCTAGAAAATTCTGAAAGTTCCATAAGCTTCAAGAAAAGTTTAGGCTTTAGAAAGTCACAAGTCTACTGCCTGTAAATATACTTTTATACGATTTTAAAAGATTTGTGTCATGAGTGACCTATTTTGAAAATTAATTGGATTAAAATCCATTTTCATTACTTTTTAGCCCATTAATTTTGAGTTTTACTTTTGAGTTAAACAATTATGACAAATAAATTTTAAACTTTTTTTACAATAAGTTAAAAGTTTTTTTCTAATATACACACATTTATATCAGAAAATAATATTTTCATCTTGCACAAAGTTTTTAAAGTTATATTTTCTTTCAGGCCAGTTGGATGGGAGGTGATGATATTCTTCATTATTATTGGGGAGGTGCCAAGGGTAACCGTGGTTATTGTGGTTGTGGCATGGATGGAAGCTGTTATAATATTGGCAAATATTGCAATTGTGATTCTTTAGACGCTTATAAAGATTTATTTGATGAAGGAAATTTAACTGTTAAAAGTCATCTACCTGTTCGTCAAGTAAAGTTTGAACAAGTATTACAAGGTAATTCTATTCATGCACTACTTCGTGTGGGACATCTAAGATGTGCTGGGTTTGGTTCTAGAGAAATAGTTGCAACATTCCGCAAGCCATACTCTTTTTTGTCAGTTGATCATCCCGATCAACCATATGATAATATTTTTTCTGGGGGAATTTCTTTTGAATTTAAAACTTCTGTGGCTTATAATTACATGACATTGGTACATGCTCATGGACCTTTTTCTGGAGATTATATGAAAGTTATGATCTGGTCCCGAACAATGGTACGTGTTAACATGAATTTCGGTTTTGGTGATATTCAACAAGATGTAGATATTGAAAAAATAGGGAGGTATATTGATGACAATGAATGGCATGAGTTTGATTTGGTGTTCAACTTAAAAGAGTTAAATATAACATTGGATGGTGTTTTAATGATCCAAGGTTTACCATTGCAAGAAGATCCTGTGCAATTTAATGTTGATGACAAAGCTGTATATGTTGGTGGAAGCTATCATGATGAATATGGCTTTGTTGGATGTATTCGAAGTTTGGTAAAATATTTTATAAATAATTTATATTTCATTATTTACTTATATTTACTTGGTTTACTTATATTTTTATGTTTACTTTCAATCTTATAGTTTCATTTTTTTTTAAACATTCAGTTTTTCTCATCTTATAGTTTCATTTTTTGTTACCAGTGATATTTTTGTTCCACAACTTTTTTTACATTTACTATTCTTAATCCATTTAGAGCTAGGTGCATAAAGTTTTTTTTGTAATTCAAGTAATAAAGTATATAATTTAAGTAATAAAGTATATAATTTAAGTATGTTTTAAAGCACATTTTTTCTCTTTGTATACAGTAAAACAAGCTTACTGCTTATTTAACGAAGCATGTTATTGAATGCTATGGCGCCTGCTAATCCAGCAGGTTATTTTTAAATCTTGTTAAGATTGAGAAATTTTAGATTAATATGTAAACATTTAATTTTTATGAAATTTTATAAACAAAGTAATCTTTATTATTCCAATAAAAATGCTGGATAATTATGTCAAAAACAACAGTTTGGTAGAAGAAAAAAAGTGCACATTAATACAAAAAAAAGTTACATTCTACCTATATTTACACTAAAACTATTGTACGAAATCAAATGCAAACAATACTTTTAACCACACAATTAACCTTTAATATATTAAATAAGCTTTAATATATTAAAAACTGTTTTTTAAAAAGCAAAATTTAATAGCAATAACAATTGCTTATGTTTTCAAGTTATACTAGATTTACTAATTCCAATTCTTTGTTTATTGTCAATTGTTATGTTGCATTTTAAAGTAAGATCACGGGATATTTTTTTTCCTGCAAACTTTAAAGTCTTTTCTCATGTTCATAATTTGAGATTCAATTTTTTTGATTCAACTCAAAGCAACTTCATTTCTAACTCTTTTGTAAGTATTGAGATAATTGAAAAGCACGTTTTTATTTGTCCTGCACTAATTTTGTTTAAAGTCTTTTTCCAATGCTAGAAGACTTTGTAATTTAGAATCAACAGCTGCTTTCCTAGATGATCACTTTGTATCTCTAAAATGTTTTAGACAAATCTTTCCACTCTCTGATGTTTTTACTGATATATGTTACTCTTTGAGTAACATTGCACTTGTTGAACTATCAATAAAAAAACGTGTATATCGTTTCTAAAATTCCAAAAAAATAATTTTAATTGTACATTAGAATTTACAGCATCAACTATCCCAAGATTTAAATTGTTTGCAAAGCAATTTTTACACATTACAAAATATACAGTGCTTTGACTTTTTTCTGCAGTCCAAAAATTTTACCATAGGTATTGCGCCATCATATGACCATAACAAAGTTCTGCTGGGTTATCAAGGACATTAAAAAAAATTTAAGATTGGTCAAAAAAAGTTTCAGCATTTGCAATTGGTAGTTTTAAGAACTTAAAAAATCTTTCAACTGAATCACCATCTGAAACATATTGCAAAGACAGACAGTAGTCAAGTAGAAAATTGATCTACTAGACTAAAGTCTGTGGTGGAATCTATTATAACTGCAAAAACTTCACTTCTTAACAAATTTTTGGTTTAATTTGTCAGTCCAAGATAAAAACGTTTTGATCAGTTTGATTAATGTGTAACTCCAACATGTTAGAATATTTTGAAAGAGGTTTTATAAGTTTGATTAATTTACTTTCATTACTGGATCCTCTGCTACCAAATTTTATATGTCCACAGAAGCCAATCCTTGTTGCTTAAAAACAATACTCTATCTATATTAGTTTTTGACAATAACTCTAAACAAAGTCTGCTCTATTACTGAAAAGCCAGCAGTCAAAACAAAACATCCGTTAGCTTATGAGAAACAGTGACAAATGTTTCTTTACTTCTGATTTTTTCAACAATTTTTTTTTGTATTGTGTTGGCCTAAAATCATCTTTTGTCAAAGCAGTTAAGTAGCTTACTTGTAAACTAATGACAGGATTCACCATTTAAAGTAGAATTATATGTTATGATCAGCTGGAATCGATGTGTTAGCATTGATCACTGTAGTGTTCACTGTAGCACCTTGTCAAGATTTTTTGAGATTTGTTCCATCAACAACATAGATACTTTTGGTACAAGTATTTGTATTGTTTTATTGATCTAAATCAAAAGTTCTTCTGATGTTACCATCATTTTTATTCTTATTAGTGACTCTTAAAAGTAAATTCATAAAAGGTTTAGTTAGCTTACAGTAGTCCAGAAAGACTATCTGCAGATGGGAGTGATAATACAGCATTAGGGTGGTTCATTTTAAACTTTTTTTTTTGTTTGAAATTTTAACCAGTTTTTACCAATGATGACATACCAAAAGTTTTAAACATAGGACGATTTTTAGATCCCTCACAAAACATTGGAAGTTTGAATTACGCATTGTGCAAGTGTTGTGTAACGTTTTAACGCATTGTGCAAGTGTTGTGTAATGTTTTAACGTATTGTGCAAGTGTTGTGTAGCCTTTAACCCACCAACTGTTATTGTTTCTCAGTGGGGTTCACGCGGTTAAAATGTTAATCAATAATGAACAAATTTACAAAACTTTATTAATTTATGATTACTTTTACTTATCCCACAAGAGATTTGTTTTAAAACATTACAGCTTTTGTGTAACATAAATCAGTTTAGTTACTCTCATTTCAATACTTTTCAAACAACTTCGTTACTTTCATGCCATTACATTTAATATTGTAAAATTACATTTAATGAAGTCATTAAGACTTAAGTTCTTAATTTTCTTGAGGCAAAATTAGTTCTTAAAGACATGAAGCAAAGTTTATGAGTTTAAGTTGCTATAATTTAGTTTATAATGTTTTTAATAAACCTTATTTTATATCCTTTTAACGTTACAAAGTTTATATCTAAACGTATGTTACTAACAGTGTTTATATTACAAGCTTCATTCTTCTGATAATATTAATACGCTCATTTAATAGTAGTAGTTAATAGTCGACTTACGTCATTTTCTAGGCTTTTCTATTTTAAAGTAGTTTATAGGCTTTTCTTTTTTTTTTTTTTTGTTTACTAACAACCCGTATTACAGGTTGCTTACTGCTAGTGTAATATAAACACTGTTAGTAATTAAACAACGGCAATGGCTCCCATACCTCAGATGGTTGGTAGACCTAGTAAAAGTCTGGGAAATAATGTAAACAAAAAAATATTTAAATTATTTTAAAAATATTTAACATTGTAAATAAGAAAACAATTCTAGAAAAGAAACAAGACTGATTGCAAATCATCAAGTTAGCAATATCATTTAAAACTTTTAGTTTCCTGCTTGTATTCCAACAAATTCTAGCAGAAAGGACTGTGTTGATCATATTTTCTCTTTATTAACCTGATGTGAGACACCTAAAGAAAATCCTGAAAGTAGAAGACAAGAAAAACAATTCAAACTACATCTTTTACATTGAAACTAGAGAGTTTGTTTGATATATAACATACATTTACACATTGCTAATACACTCTGGTATGGCTTATTGACTGGAAATAAAAAGCCAATGAAAAGTTGAAAAAAAATGATATTTTTTAAAATAAAATTTCAAACCATTTTTTTTTTTAATTAATCCAAAATTAATAAATGTTAAAATACATTTTATTTATAAAATGTATTTTAACATTTAAATACGTCTATTATATTTAAATGTTAAAATACATCTATTTAAATAAATTATATTTATTAAAATAGGTAAATAGAAAATTAGTTTCACTTGGCAATGAATGCCTTGTTGCAACATTAGTTACTCAAAACAGTTTTTAGTTATCTAGCTAATCCACAGCTTAACTATGATTAAAAAAATATTGTTACCAATAATTTTGTTAACTGTTTTTTTCTATTTAGTATGTCAATGGAAGAATCCACGATATTCGCAGCATTGCTCAGGGTCAAGAAGATTACGGTGTTTATCCTGGTTGTGGATCAGCATGTATGCTACTGAACCAACCTTGTAACTATGGTCAGTGCATTGATCATTATGATTCTTTTAAATGCAACTGCTCAGTCTCGCCATATGGAGGAGATTTTTGCCAAAATGGTATAAAAATCTGCAAAATTTTATAACGTTGTATGTAAATATATGTTATAAAAGGTTTATTATTTTTTCTGAATTAGTTGAATTTAATAATAAATTTAAATGACAAAATATCTTTTTAATATAGATACTTTGATAACAATGTACATATTTAAAGATGTATATATGTCAACTTAAATTTGAATTTATAATATTGTATATCATTATATTTTGTTATTAGAATCTTACCCAAAGAGTTTTACAAGTGGTCAATATATTTCCTATGACCTTAAAAAGGCTAATATAACAGACCCGATTGCTACAGCAGTTTTTGTAGTTGGGTTTAAAACTCTTGAAGAGAATTCAGCTTTAGCTACTCTTGAAGGATATAATGATCGTCACTTCACACTTGCCCTAACTAACGGTTACTTGACTTTGTTTTACTCATTAAAGAAAAAATTGCGAAACAGTGTAAATGTGTTGACAGATTTTGAAACAGAAATGCTTCAAATTTCATCAAGAAAATTCAATAATGGCGAGCACAATTTGGCCCGCGTTATTATTTCAACGGACGAAATATTTTTAACTGTCCCTAATTATGATTTAGTTGTTGGTGCTAATATGACTGAGCGATTTAAAGACGAAATGAATAAAAATCTCGGTACAGAAATTGATACATTTGGTATGGCAGCCACATTTTCAGTAGGACGAATTATAAATAATGGTATAAATACACGCAGTTTTACATTAGCTAGTTTCTTTACTGGCTGCATGAGTGGCGCAAAACTAGTTCTTACACCTCTTCCTAACATTACTCATCGTTTTCCAAAATCAGTTGAAATAGACTTGTTCAAGCTTTTACAAGTTAAAACAAATGATCCAGATGCAAATCCTTATGGCACTTTTCCAAGTGAAACTGCTAACTGCGGTCCCTCGCTTTCTATCCCGGGTAAGCTAATATATTTTTAAAATTTTCAAAAGTTATATTTATTCTTAAAATTGTTGATAAAATTTTTTATAAATTAAGGCGACCTTCCAACTGTTGGTCCTGCTCGACAGTATAATACAGATTCGCCTGGACTCGATAATTCTATCAAATTATTGCCTGTTGGTATTTGGAGTCGAGTTGTTATTGTAGCAATTTCGTTTATCTTTGCTGTAATATTTATTGGAGTATTTTTTTACGTCTGCTCATACACCCTTCGTATGAATTCGATGTACAATAAAGCAAAAAACGAAAAAAGTTTAACAACTTCAGAGAAATCCAGTAGGTTCCCTACTAATCAAGAAAACATATTAGTAAAATCAAATTTTGAAAGTGATTTTTTATAGAATATTTTTTCTGAATGATTATTTTTAAACAAAGATTGCGTAATTTGAATTTTGATATACCGTAACATAGTGTTACTTTAATCCATTTTATTGTGATTTTTGGTTTTAACAATCAATTTTGCTCTATCCAAAGTATTTTTTCAATTTTGTTTTATTTAAATTATTGATAAAGATATCAACCTTTAGTTCAAGCTAATTGATTTATAAAATAGATTAAAAACAGATAAACTTTTTCGTTTTTCAAAAAGTGGCCTAACGTTACCTTGGGTTTTTTAAGCCATGTATGCTTGTTGTGCTGTTTTGTTTCATTTACTTACAAATTACTTAAGTAAATACCTCCATGATGTTAAAACATACAAAATTAAATACATAATGTTAAAACAAATACAAAATACCGTTTAAGTTCAAAAACAACATGCATAAAAAGAATAAAGAAGTAACATTTTAAAACTATATTTGGGCTCCGCGAACTTTTAGAACAGCCTCTATTCATCGCGACTTTGAGGAAATAAAAAATCTTTTAAAATAAAATTGAGAAAAATTATGAGAATAAGATTGAAAAAAGCTTCGAGATTCATTCAAAAATGCCGTCTTCCATTAAAATTTGTACTTGTGCATATTCGGTAAGCAACGTTGTAACTATACTCTAAAGTAATACCAAATGAATTACGCATAATTTTAATGTATATAGAGCATATAAAATATTTTCTTAACAGTAGTTATGCAATGCTTGATTGTTTAGTGTGTTGCTAGCACGCATTTTTAAATAATAATCTATAATAATTATAAGAGGTCTAATCTTTTTGGCCTTAACTGTATATAAAAATCTTACATCCGAGTCCGCTGTTCGTAATTGATGGTTGCAAACTTTTTTTTTGTTTGTTTTTTAAAAGAATGTACTTTGCTTAATAAAATTTTATGAAAAAATTGTAGAAATTATATAAAAAATGAACAAGCACAAGAATAAAATAATTTATTTCATACAAATTTAGTAAATAATAAGAGCGCTCTTGAAAAAAATTTTATGCAAATGTTTTTCCTTAAAACTAAAAAAGCTTTCTGGAAAAACTTAAGTTTTTTTAAAGTGAGTTTCCACCTATCTGTTTTTTTTTACGTGGAACGGAAAAATAATCACGTGAGCAAGCGCAGTTTTTTTTCGGACAAATAAAAACTTTTATTACGCATGCTCACGTGATTTTTTTTTTTTTTTTTCCCCATCTTAGACCATTAAAAATGATAGGCACGGCGTTAGCTGAGTAACAGAAAGCAGTTTGTAATTAATAGAGTCAAGTGTTCTTGATATTGAGTGTGGGGTCCGTAAAGACTCAATCTTAGGACCATTATTGTTTTTAATTTACATCAATGATACGCATAAGGCATCATCTATAGTATCTTCAATAATGTATGCTGATGACACAATCATAGCAATTTAAAATCGATGTTCGGAACAATGAATACTAAACTGGAAAACTTTAATTTATGGTTTAGAGCAAATAAACCTTTAATAACCTTAAACTGTGAAAAAA